TATTTTTTGCCAATTACATCAGTGTTGTTCGGTTTATTTATGGATTATGGATAGTTTATTGTATGCGTGATTTTATAATAGCACATGTTTTGATAATATGATGAAAAAATCTTGGATGAATTTCTAGTATTTTCTTGGTTGGACTAATGTTTATCTTTCTCATTGCTCATACGAGTAAGCAGACATTGTGTGTGAAATGAAGATTCGAATGTACTTCTTTTTATAATGAAATATCAGTAGTTTATTTATAGTTTACGAATGCTATTTATTTATTTTTTCAATAGTGCCTATGTGAGCTATGTGATTTTGTTTGGTGAAATGGGACTTTGATCGGATTGAAGAAAGCATTTAGATATTGATTGTTGAAGAAAGCATTTAGATATTGATTGATTGATAAATTGGTTTTGATATGGGATATTATACCCACAAGGCTGAACCGGTCTATTGACCGGTCGAGGAGGTCGTATTATGAGGAAGTCAAGGAAATCGAGCAGTTAACCAGTCGACCAAGTAAAGCTGTCGACCAAATTATCCTTCGACCAGATACACGATCGAGCAACTTATTCGACCTCAACAGGTCGGTTACTTCGAGGACTTAACACCACGCTGTTCGACCTAGTCATAGGCGCGTGAAGGAGCCTCTGACAGCATTCCAGAAGAATATTTACCCCATGTGCAGGGGGACACGTGTCGAGAAGGCAGTGGTGGATAGCGATAACCACCTCTGACAGCCTACCCCATGTGCAGGAGGACACGCGTCCAAAGAGGATTGGTGCAGGCGATATTGGCGACGGCTACCTCTGACACACGCGTTTGGTGTGTACGGACGGGCAGTTAGGGCAGACAGCTCAACAAATCCGGGCAGCCTTAGGTCAGGTATCTCACCCCTATATAAAGGGGTGAGCCTTTCTTCTTCAACACGATCATTCTACGATTTACTCTTGAGAATTGATTGAACATACACTGACTTAAGCTTCGGAGGCTCTTCACCGGAAAACCCCTCCGGTGTGAGAGTTCTTTGTAGGTGCACGACGTTCAACCGATGAGAAGGAAGGCGATTACTCAATTTACAGCCGGTCGAGAAGTTTTGTGTTACCAGGTTTATTGATAGTTTATTTGAAATTTATTTATTTTACTAATGATGGTTTATTTGAGGTTTATTTATTTTATTAATGATGACTTATTTGAGGAATACAAGTATTT